TTTCAAAGGTATATTATCACTGTCTGACCTTTAAGTTTATTTACTGATGAGTTGGGATACCTCTCCCCTTCTGATTTCCAAGACTATGCAGTGTTAGGGGGTCTTTTGTTTTGTTTTGTTTTTCTGAGACAGGGTCTTGCTTTGTAGTTCAGGCTGGCCTTGAACTCACTATGGAGCCCAGGCTGGCCTCAAACCCGTAGGAATCCTCCTGCCTCAGTCTCCCAAGTGCTGGGATCAGAGATGTGTGCCATCACACTCTGCACGGGGTCTGGAATCATTTTTCTCTGTAAAAGGGACCCTGTAGCCCCAGTGACGTGGGAATTGAGGCAGGAGTCTTCAGTGTATGACTCGAGGTTACTGTCTCCTTTTTCTTACATGTGGTTTTTCTAACCAACAAAAGCCACATTTCAAGACCATTGAGCCTGCTGTGGTCTCATTTCCTCTTCCTCCAGCCACGCCCTACATATTATTCAAATCTTGGTTCACACTTCTCCCCTGTGACCACATCCTACCCCAGACAGACTGATTCAGATACTCCAGTGATACGTTGTCCCAGCCCCTTGGATTTTTCCACCACAGTGCTAATTGCAATTCTTTCCTTTTGCTTTTTTTTGAGACAGTTTCGACTGCCCTTGAACTCAGGGTGATCCTCCTGCCTCAGCCTCCCAAGTCCTGGGATTACAGGCACCTTCTACCATGCCCTGCTATTTTTTCTTGAGTTGTAGAGAGAATTGTTCAGGATACCCATGCAGTCCCCATACGCATACTGTAAAGGGCTTCATCTGTCCCCACCACATGCACTGTGGCTCTGTCACAGTGTCCTTGTGGGTGGCTCCCGTGGCCTGGAATGTGAGCCTCCTTCCTGGCCTCGCCCTGGGTCTCACTGGTCCTGCAAGGTTTGCCTGAACCCACAGCCTTGGGGAAGTTTTCCTGCAGGGACGGCTCCACCTAGACACAGGGTGCAGAGGGACAGACCCTGCCCTCTGGAGGGTGGCAACAGGTGCGACACTCTGTGAAACCAGACCCACAGGCAGCGAGCAGGGTACAGCCCAGTGACTCTGGACGATGGAGTCCCCTGCGCTCCTCCACCTCTCTCCTCCCAGCCTGGCCCAGGTCCCTCCAGTTCGCAGCGCAGCCCTCCGTGAGTCAGCCCCACAGGGTCTCCTCTGCCCTCTCCACATGGTGACCTCTCACTTCCTTGCCGAGTCCTCAGGGGACAGAAAACCTCCCAGCTCAAGCCAGAGAAACCTGTCACAGCGGAGTCAGGCATGGAGCAGACCACATGCCCCTCTCTGCTCCACCCTGTGCCAGACCTGAGTCAGGGAGTTCAGGCTGGCTTGATCCTCCTGTGATCTTCCTGCCTCAGCCTCCCCGAGTGCTGGGATTCCAGGCGTGTGTCACCACACCCAGCTTTCCTTTGGTTGCTTTTAAATTTTCTTTAGCACTAATTTTTAGCAACTTGATTATAATGTGCCTTGGTCTTCATTTGTTAAAATTCTGGAATTGGGGTTTATTGGAAAATTTTCTTCTATTATCTATCTCTGCAATTTATTTGTTTATTTATTTTTTGGTACCGGGGATGGATCTCAGGACCTTGCATTTGTGAGACAGCAGAACCACTGAACAAAATACTCTTCAATTTGTTTTATTCTGCACCTTTTCTAGAATTCTAATACATATGTGTCTAATACATATGTCGTTACATGTCCCTGGTTCCTGATACACTCTTAACTTTTCTTTAGTAGGATTTTTTCCCCTTTATGTGCTTATTTTGGATATTTCCTACTGCTGTTTTCAACTGTGCTTCTGTGTTTCATCTGCTATTTCTAATATATTCTTAAGCTGACCCAGTGTGCTTTCCTTTTTAGATAGTACTTTTCATTTCCAGAAGTTAGATTTGGTGTTTTTAAACAGTTCTCTCTTTGTTATGTTGACATTTTCTTCTAGCTCTTTAACTATTTGGAGACTGTTTATAACAGCTGCTTAAACACTTACCTGCAGTCCACCTTCCCAGTAATTTCCGGGTCTGTTTCTTCTGTTGTCAGTTCTCTTATTACTCGTGAGGGTGTCGCTGTGAATATCTATATATCTATATCTATATCTATATCAATGTTGGCCATAGCCCTTTTTATTAAACTGAGTTGCCATTTTTTAAGAGTTTAAATTTTAAAATGCATTAAATGATCAGAAAGTACAGAGCATAAGAAGGAAGACAGCAATGGGACAAAGACCACATGGCTTTTCTGCTGAATTTCACTATTTAAAGAAAAACTTATTTTAGTTCTTCCAAATACATTTTAGAAGGCTAGCATTACTAAGCTATTAAAATCAGATGAGCGAATACAACAGAAGAGAAAATAGGTCAGTATTCTCAACGAACAAAGGTGCAAATCTCCTCAATCAAATAGTAGCAAATCAAATTCAGTGGCATATTTTAAAAGACATTGACTCAGTTGCTAATATATAAAAATTAACATAAATATCTAAATTTCTAGCATGTATTTAAAAATCTGTGATGGATTTCCAGCTACAGAAATGTGAAGAGATCAGCAAACTCTTTACAAGATCTAAATATAGAAATGGACAACTTTCAATATCAATTGCTTTCCCTATAATATGGAATGTGTATCTTATATATGAAAGGAAATCCATAGCTTTAAATGATTTTATCTAGGACATTCTAAGGAACCTATTGAACTAAACCAAGTAGAACTATTAAACAATTTTGGCAAAGTCACAGGATACAAAATCTAACTGTATCATGTACATCAGCAATGAATAAGTTGAATATGAAATTAAAAAACTAATTCCAAGTTTGGCATGGTGGTGCATACCTAATATTCTAGAACTTCAGGAAGCTGAGCAGGGGATCACTGTAAGCCCGGGCTATGTAAAGCTGAGCCCAGCCTGGACTATATGACAAGACCCTGTCTCAAACAAACAACCCCACAAAAATAAATAAATAAAATCGAGAAATAGAGGCATTTTCCATTTTTCTCCAGTTCCTATTACACCTATTGTATCTTACACTTCCATTTTTTAAAATTTTTGAGACAGGGTCTTGCTGTGTAGCCCAGGCTGGGCTCAAATTTACAGTGATCCTCCTGCCTCAGCCTCCAAGGAGCTGGGGTTACAGGGATGTGCCACCATGCTTAGTTTGTAAAATCATTTTATCAATGAGGGAAATAAGGCTCAGAGACCCCTTGTAATGTGCTCATGGTCACACAGTTATCTGATCTTCTTGAAGCAAAGGACATATTGTGCTTACGGACAAGAGTGAATCAGAATGTTCCACCAAATACTGAAAATGAACTAATGCCATGTAAAAGCCTTTTTCCCCCTGGGCCTCTAAAGCTTGAAGAGCTGTCTGGTTTTCTTTTTAGACTTGGCCGAGGATGGAGAGCACTGGAGAAGCCCGGAGCAGCTGCTAAAATCATGACGCTAATTTCATTTCTGCAAAGCTAAGAGCTGTTTCTCAGCCCTGAGCCAGCAGAGCCCAGCCATCCACAGGCTGCTTTTGCTTGGCATTTTGTTCTTGCCTACGTTGTTGTCCAACTTTTCAGGGCCCCAGGGAGAAATGCGGACACGGGGACGCATTAGAGCCAAACTTGGGGAATCCTAGAGAATCTTAAGTCATCTTTGCCGCAGTGCTAGATTAGGTTAGGGTCCCCGCCTGGTGCGCACAGAGCTGGGGAGAAACCTGCACCCTGCACGGGCCTGGCTGCCCGGCCCTTTCATGTGCTGCGACTTGGTGGGCTCAGAAACCCTCCCTACAGCCATCTGCACAAGGAGACCTGAGCAAGGCTGTGTCGCAGGCAATGCAGTGCGGACGGCTGTACAGTGTGACAGGGCGCGGGCTGGGTTTTGTTCCTCTGCATTTAGAATTTTAATTGGCTTTTCATAATGACCCATAAAGCTCAGCAGCCTTGGGCGCTGTGTGGACAGAGACAGAGGCCGCCCTGCAGATAGATGGTTCCGTTTTGCTTGGCCTTTCAAGTGTTTGAAGGAGTTGCGTTTCTGAATTTAGTAGATGACGTTTTTGCAATCTACAAAAATATCTATTATTTATTTTCTGTTCCCTTTGAAAAGTCAATCTAACCTTAGGATAAAATCCCGTGGAGGAAATGCAACTAGTTCTCCTTCAGCCACGTCGGCACAAGGCTGCCTCTCTGATTTATGGTCCTGCTGGACCCTATTTGTTTGATTTGTGATCCTACGGGTGGCATTGACTTTGCCAACAGGAAAAGTCTTTCGGGGCGTGGTGGCTCACGCCTGTAATCCTAGCACTAGAGAGGCTGAGGCGGGAGGATCGTTGTGAATTTGAGGCCAGCCTGGGCTACATAATCCAGACAAAAATAAAAGCCCACATGGTGAAGTCTTTAAACTTGTTGTCTTGGGTTGCAGACCAATACTCATATCCCACCTGTCTTGTCAGATTCAAAGTCACTTCGGAGTTGTTTCTGGGAGTTTTGACACTCACTTGACCAATCTCAGTGCAGGAAACCTCTGGCCTCGCGTCTGATTCTGGAAACAAGGGAAAATTTGGAGCCTAGTTTGGCATACAAAGTACGCGTGACTGGGAAGCAGTGCGAACCTTTTTTTGTTAGGTGGTTTGTAGCTGGCTGCTGGGTAACGACCTTGGGGCGTCAGCTTTCGGTGCAGGTCGGAATGCAGAACCGCGGCGGAAGCGCAGCCCCGACCCAGCCCGCCTCCCTCGGGTTCGAGCCCCAGCGAGCGCAGCAGGGCGCCCCTGCAGGGAGGTGCCGGGACCCCGCCTGCAGCCCTCTCGCGCTCGCCCCGCCCGCTGCCCCGAGGGCGCCCCCTGGCGGCGGGATGGCGGACCCGGAGTGCGGCCCCGCCCCGCGGCCCAAAATAGCCGGGCGCGCAGGACCGACGGCGGCGCGGGGGCGCGGCGGGCGCCCTTAAAGGCGCGGCGGGCGGCGGGGCGGCGAGCATGGAGCGGCGGGACGGCGGCGACCCGAGCCGCGGCGTGGTGCCCGGGGACCCGCAGGCGGCCGCGGCCCTGCTGGCGCCCATGGAGCTGCGCGAGGAGGCGCCCGAGAAGGCGGCGCGCGCGCGCCCGGCCAAGGACCCCAACACCTACAAAGTGCTGTCGCTGGTAGGTCCGGGCGGGCGGGTCCCCCTCGCGCGGGTCCTGCCGCCGCTCACCCAAGGGTGTGGACAGGGACAGGGCATCCACGCCTGTGATCCCAGCGCTCGGGAGGCTGAGGCAGAAGGATCGCTGTGAGTTTGAGGTCAGTCTGGGCTCCATAGTGCGTTCAAGGCCAGCCTGCGCTACATAGCAAGACCCTGTCTCGGAAAAAACAAGCAAGCAAACAAACAAACAAAAATCGTCTTTATCCCCTCCACCCCCCATCTCTGGGAAGCACAAGGGTAAAAACGACCCACTTGAAAGTGGATTCATAATTGCTAAATCTTGGAAGCAGCCTCTGTGACCACCAACAAATGAACGGATGCAGAAAACGTATTTATTCACAACGGAGTACTACTCTGCCGTAATGAAAGGTAAACTTGAGACATTTGGAGAAAAATGGACGCACCTTGAGACCATAATGTTCAGTGAAATAAATCGAACACACAAGCTTAAATAGCATATGGTGTCTTTTATGTGAGAAAGCCAAAGTGTTAATAATTTAAAGAGCAAGAGAAAAGGTAGACAACAGGAAACAGGGAGATAGAAGTTTTGCGAAAGGGAAAGGGACGAAGAGTTGGAGGGAGGGAGGAGGGAGGGAAGGGAAGGAATGAAAGAAGAATGGAGGTGTGTATGTGCATCACCAACTCCCCACGAGGAATATGATCATTAACTGCAAACATGCACTAACAAAAATAAAAACTGGAAAAAAGACCCCTGAAGCAAAAAAAGCAAGCGACCAGGCCCCGAAGGGCGCAGTGGCTCTGGACCCTGGGTGGCTGTGGGCGCGCTCGGCACGGTGTTGACCTAGACGAGCTGATGCCAGTGGAAAGGCTTGCGCAGGGTCTTTCTGTTTTTTCAGGACTATCAGAAAACGCTCTCTCCGTTGGCTCGGGTTTGGTATTTCCTCGCAGCTGGTCAGAAATTCCATGGGCTCCGCAGGGCGTCTGTGATTCCTTGTCCACTCAGGACCCGTCGCGCCTGGTGTGCGGCCCCCCCCCCCTCCGCTCCTGTCTCCCTGACGCCCAGAAGCGTGGGCTTGTTTTTCCTTGTAAATCTTCAGTGGGGGGAGCTGGCGGGAGGCCCGAAGGCCTGGGTTTCACGGCCTTCATGAGTTCCCGGGACTTTGCAGAATTCCTTAACCCCAGCCTCTTCCCTCTTCGGGACACTGCACAGGCTGATTGTGAGAGCCAGATGGAAGACGGGCCGGGTGTGGGAAGGAAATTCAAAACAGAAGAAGCTGTGATTGTTCCACTGCGTTCTTTCTCTGGGTTGTGCACCTAAACTGCGCCGTTACGTGCAGTAAGGCTGAAGGATGCTGTGGTGAGAAGTGGCTTCTGATGTTTGCAGCCTCTCGGGATCGTTTCCGTTTCCACTGTATTTCAGGTTTCCTGGAGACGTAGCACTGCTTTGACAACCCAAAGTCCTAGACTTGAGGGATGGTGTCATATCCTTAGTGCTTAAAAATAAGCCTAGGTTTTAAAGATGAAATGTCCCAAGCCACATGTTGTTGCATCTCAGGATATATTTTTGTATCATATGTAACTGTCCTAGAGGAGAACTTACTTAGCTGGAGTCTAGCAAGTTTTTCTTTTCTTTTTTTCTTTTCCTCTCCTTCCCTCCCTTTCTCCTTCTTTTTTGCTTGTGATACTGGGGACTGAACCCAGAACCTTCCCATTGAGCTATACCTCCAACTTTTTTTTTTTTTTGAGACAGTCTTACTAAATTAGTTGTCCAGGCTGGGCTTGAGTTTGAGATCTTCCTGTCTCAGCTTCCCCAAGTGCTGTGATTATGGGCATGCATCACCACCACACCCAGTCTGTTTTGTTCTGTTTATGTTAATGGAAACTTTAGCTTTTACAAGCTGCTCACTGAGTGGTCTGTTACCATCAGCCTCAGGTGGCTAGCGTACCACGTGGTACTTAGGAACTATATGTCGAATCCAGAGAAGTGCCAGTAAACCATGGCTATGTGCCTGTAAGTCTTGAAAGATTTTCCAGTTGCTAAATGTATTTTTAACTCTTCCCTGCTCGTGTACTTAGAGACCCACGATAGTGTCAGCCATGATAAGTCCACCTTTGGAAGAAGCTTTTCGGTCTTCGCCGCCAGCGTGCCAGCCCCACTTCTGTTAGGTTGATGCGGAAGGGCCTGGCACTAGCTCCTCAAGCACCATGAAGATGCTTTAACCCCACTGCCAAGGGTCATTCTCTGAAATCCAGTGAACTGGAAAGAATTCTCAGGGCAGATATTCCATGAAATACCGAGGGACGTTATAATATAAGTCATCACCAAGCTCGCCTCTTTATAGCTGAAACTCTTCCTTAAGGTCTGAACTGAAAGAATCCTCTTATTCATTCTTCTTTCCCTTTCCTACTCTATTTTTTCCTTTTTGGTTTTTTGAGACAGGGTCTCACTATGTAGTCCAGGCTGTGCTTGAACTTGTGGCAGTCCTCCTGCCTCAGCCTCTCGAGTCCTGGGACTGCAGGGGTGCGGCACCACATCCAGCATCCTTGGCATAGCTTTAAAGGGACTGGTAACTGTCACCTCTGAAGCAGTGCATTTTCCAGTTCTTCTAAAACGTTGCTTCTCACTGTTTGTGGCCCTCCGCTGTGCAGGCGCTTAGGAAGCCCTGTCTTGTCTATGCCTGGGGCTCTGAGTGTGGGGGGCGGTCCTTGGTCCTCAGGCTACCTTCACCTTGCCACCAGAGAGTTCTTTTCATGAGGCACAAGTTGGCCTTGTGTATGAGATTTGGGTCTGAGGGTCAGGTTGCTCGGCTTCCTTCCCCTCTTCTTTACAGTCCCTTATTACCAGAATACAGAGTGAATATTCAGGTACGTCTCTGCCCTTCAGTAGATTTGGAATTGTTTTCTTTTTTGCTTGTTGTTTTATTTTTTTGAGGCAGGGTTGCCCTAAGTAGTCCAGGCTGGCCTTGAACTCACAGTGTAGCATATGGTGGCCTGGAACTCTCCATGATCCTCCTGCCTCAGCCTCCCGAGGGCTGGGGTCACAGGCATGCGCCACCACGCCCAGCTTATAAAACTGTCAGCCTCTCATATTCCTCCATCTACTCCTTTTTCTCAGGCATCAATACTTAAGGTAATGAAAATAGTTTGATACTCATTTTTGTTTTTAAGCCTTATGAATATCATGGTAAAATCTTAGTGCAATTTTTATAATTAGCAAATGTATTTCATCAGTGTTACAGACTTTTTGGATCAACCAGAGAGAGCCTAATTATGTTTAGAAACATTTTTTTTCTTTTGGCTACAGAGAAAGGTATTTCAAGTTACAGATGACTTAGAAACAAATAAGCTTTGGAATATAACTTATAATTAGACATCTGCTTTCGGTGGAAATAAACTTGCCTCTGTCAAACATGAAATCTCCGTACAACAACAAATAGACTGGAAACCTTCCAGCAGGGGAGGTCGGAGCAGAACAGAAATGCCTCTTCTGAGCATGAGTCTTGTGCAGTAGGTGCGGGTAATCAGAATGCTGCACGGAGTGATAATCCTTCAGCCAGGACCGAAGAGCCGTGAGTTTACCAAGAAACCAGAGCAGTGTATTTCAGGGTTTTCAAAATGTTCAGGTAAACACTAACCAGAACTCTCTCTTCCCAAGCATTTTATTTATCTGAGTCTTCATAATAAGAATTTTAGATAGCAGCTATAATTATGATTATTTTCTCTTAGTATTCAGAAGAAAAGTTGGTAGAAATGTAGTTGGTGGGTGTTTCAATGATTAAACCCATTTCTATTACACTTTTCAGTGTTTTCTTTTCTTTTTGTTTTTGTTTTTTGAGACAGGGTCTCACTATGTAGTTAGGCTGGCCTAAAACTCACAGTGTTTCTCCTGCCTCAGCCTTCAGAGTGCTGGAGTTACAGGTGTGTGCCACCACACCCAGTGTACTTTGCAGTTTTTTGAGACAGGGTCTCACTGTGTAGTTCAGTCTGTTGTTGTTGGGTTTTTTTGATGTTACATGTATTGGGATTTTATTTTTATAAGTGTAGGAAATAATGCCATGCATTAAGGAGCATAAAAATACAATTAAAATCATTTATATAAAAAAAATTCAAAAAGAAAAATAATTCATGCATACAGTAGCACAGTAAGCCAAGATACACTGTAAGAAGTGCCTGTCCAGCTTCAGGGTATCAGCAGCTGCATCAAACTGCGGGGTCCCACTTCCAGTTCCTCAATCAGTTGGTTATAGTATAGCTGGGCATGGTGGTGCACGCCTGGCATCCCAGCACTCAGGAGGCTGAGGCAGGAGTTAGATGCCAGCCTGGGATACATAGTGAGACCTTCTCAAAAAGTCAAAACTTTAGGCTGGTTTTGCACTCACTATGTAGCCCACGCTGGCCTCGAGCTCATGGCAATCCTCCTGCCTCAGCCCCCTAAGTGCTGGGATTACAGGTGTACACCACCATCCCATGCTACTTTGCAGTTTTAAAGAACATTTTCCCATGTATTTTTTCAAATTTTTATTGGTCCATGTGTGTAATAGCTAATGATCCTAGTCATTTTGGGGAGTTGGTCCATGTACATAACACATCTCAATTCCTTTTTTATCCTCCCCTTCTTCCTTCCCTCCCCTCTCCCTCCATTGTCTATGTATTTTTAATCCTGACACATCAATAACTCTGACGTAGGAAAATATTGTGATTGTCACTTCTACTTTACAAACATGGAAACGGGCTCAGAGGTTTCGCCAGCCCAAGTGTGCATGGAAACCTCTTAGCAGGTGTCTGAAAGACAGCATCCTGTGCTCTGATCCCTGAGATTAGGACTGGGAAGATTGGGAATGGATCCAAGAGTCAGCCCCCCCAACAAGCTCCCCAAGTTACTCAGATGTTGATGGTTCTTTTACTCAGTGCCTTGAAACAGTGTTACATTTCTGGGCAAAAGCCCCCATTAGTAATAGGTGACAGTGGCTACAGTGTTTCTTGTGGACAGTAGCTGACCCC